TTTGTGTGGTCAAAACAAGTAGTTTAGTTTTTGTTTTTAAAAGATCAGTGCAGCTGGGTGCAATGGTTCATGCCTGTAATACCAGTACTTTGAGAGGCTGTGGTGGGAGGATTGCCTGAAGCCAGGGGACCAGCGTAGCCAACATAGCAGCACCTATAAGGTCTCTACAACAAACTTTTAAAAATTAGCTGGGTGTAGTGGTGTGTGCCTGTAGTCCCAGCTACCCAGGAGGCTGAGGAGGCTGGAGGATTGCTTGAGTCCAGCAGTTTGAGGCTGCAGCGAGCCATGATTGTGCCACTACACTACAGCCTGGACATGAGAGTGAGACCCTGTCTCTAAATATGTGTGTATATATAAAAGAAAAGATCACTTTGACAATACCACATGCTGGTGAGGATTTAGAAAAACTAGGTCACTTATTGCTGGTGGGAATATAATATAGTACGGCCACTCTGGAAAACAGTTTGGCAGTTTCTCATAAAACTGAACGTACAATTAGTATACAACCCAGCAACTCCTGCAATCCTGGGCATTAATCCTAGAGAAATGAAGCCTTCATGTTCACATAAAAACCTATACTCAAGTGTGCATAGCAGCTTTACCCATAATATCTAAGAACTGGAATCAGCTCAGATGTCCTTCTACAGGTGAATGGTTAAACTACTCAGTAATAAAAAGGAATGATCTACTGATAGCATGCAACAGTGTAGGTGAAGTTATGCTAATGAAAAAAGCCAATCCCAAAAGGTTACATATTGTATGATTCTATGTATATAATGTTTTTGCAATGACACAGTTTTAGGGATGGAGAATAGATTAGTGGTTGCCTGGGGTTAGAGATGGGGTTGTAGAGTAGGTTAGGGGTGGCAGAGGAGAGAAAAGAGAGAGAAGTGAGTGTGGTTATAAAAGGACAACTCAGGGGGGTACTTGTAACAGAAATGCTTTGTCTTTTTTTTTTTTTTTTTTTTTGCAGACAGAGTCTTGCTCTGTTGCCCAGGCTGGAGTGCAGTGGCGTGATCTTGGCTCACTGCACTCTCTGCCTCCTGGGTTCAAGCTATTCTCCCATCTCAGCCTTCTGAGTAGCTGGGACTACAGGTGCACACCACCATGCTTGGCTAATTTTATTTTATTTTATTTTATTTTTTTTTGAGACAGAGTCTCACTCTGTATCCCAGACTGGAGTACAGTGGCGTGATCTTGGCTCACTGCAGCCTCTGCCTCTGGGGTTCAAGCGATTCTCACTGGAGTACAGTGGCGTGATCTGGCTCACTGCAGCCTCTGCCTCTGGGGTTCAAGCGATTCTCCTGCCTCAGCCTCCTGAGTAGCTGGGATTACAGGTGCACGCCACCATGCCCGGCTAATTTTTGTATTTTTAGTAGAGACGGGAGCCACCATGCTGGGCTAGGGTGGTCTTGATCTCCTCACCTCATGATCCGCCCCACTCCCGGCCTCCCCAGAGTGCTGGGATTACAGGCTTGAGCCACCGCGCCCGCCTATTTTATTTTTTGAGACAGAGTCTCACTTGTCCAGACTGAGACAGTGGTGTGATCTGGCCACTGCAGCCTCTGCCTCTGGGGTTCAAGCGATTCCTGCCTCAAGCTTCCTGAGTAGCTGGGATTACAGGTGCACGCCACCATGCTCCGCTATTTTTGTAGTTTTTAGAGACTGGGTTTCACCATGTTGGCCAGGGTGGTCTTGATCTCCTCACCTCATGATCCGCCCACCTCGGCCTCCCAGAGTGCTGGGATTACAGGGATTTTTGTGTTTTTCGTAGAGACGGGGTTTCATTATGATGGCCAGGTTGTTTTTGAACTCCTGACCTCCTGTGATCTGCTGGCCTCAGCCTCCCAAAGTGTTGGGATTATAGACGTTGAGCCACTGCACTTGGCCAAGGAAAGAGATGCTTTGTCTTGACTGTGGTGGTGTATAGAAATTGTATAGAACTAAGGCTGGGCACGGTGGCTCACTCCTGTAATCCCAGCACTTTGGGAGGACGAGGCGGGCAGATCGTGAGTTCAGGAGATTGAGACCATCCTGGCTAACATGGTGAAACCCTGTCTCTGCTAAAAATACAAAAAATTGGCCGGGCGTGGTGGCTCACGCCTATAATCCCAGCACTTTGGGAGGCTGAGGCGGGCGGATCACGAGGTCGGGAGATCGAGACCATCCTGGCTAACACGGTGAAACCCTGTCTCTACTAAAAATACAAAAGCAAAATTAGCCGGGCGTGGTGGCGGGCGCCTGTAGTCCCAGCTACTTGGGAGGCTGAGGCAGGAGAATGGCATGAACCTGGGAGGCAGAGGTTGCAGTGAGCTGAGATCGCACTACTGCACTCCAGCCTGGGCAACAGTTTTTGAGACTCTGTCTCAAAAAAAAAAAAAAAAGAAATTGTATAGAACTAAATACACAAATGAACAACAATAAAACTTGAAAATCTAAGTAAGATCACTGGATTGTATCAGTGTCAATATTCTGGTTGTGATAATGTAGTATATTAAATAGTTTTGCAAAGTGTTACCATTGGGGAAAACTGGATAAAGGGCACACTGGATCTCTGTTATTTCTTACAACTGCACGTGAACCAATAATTATCTTTAAAAAACTTCAATTCAAAAAAGTCTGCCCTGATCCAGTTGGGAGGCTACTGAAGTAATCAAAGCTAGACATGCTGGTGTCTTGTGATTGGTAGCAGTGGTGATGGTAAGTGGTCAGATTCTGGATCTCTTGGAGAAAGATCTGACAAGATTTGTAGATTCTTTAAAAAAAATGAGATTAGGCTGGGCACGGTGGCTCACGCTTGGGAGGCTGAGGAGGGCGGATCACGAGGTCAGGAGTTCAAGACCAGCCTGACCAACACGGTGAAATGCCATCTCTACTAAAACTACAAAAATTAGCCAGCATGGTGGTGCGCACCTGTAATCCCAGCTACTCGGGAGGCTGAGGCAGGAGAATCGCTTGAACCCGGGAGGCGGAGGTTGCGCCACTGCACTTCAACCTGGGCGACAGAGCAAGACTCCATCTCAAAAAAAAAAAAAAAGAATTATAATTCACATACCATAAAATTAACCATTTTTAGAATTAGTTCTTTGATAATTTATAAAATGTGATTATAGAATGCTGTAGTGTCCTTGAGTTTACATGCCCCTCCTTACACTTGTGTGCCTGTGCAGATGCCTTGATTACACAATTAGAGGAGGCTGACTGAGATTTGTTTTAATTTTTTTTTTTTTTTGAGGCAGAGTCTTGTTCTGTCCCCCAGGCTAGAGTGCAGTGGCACAGTCTTGGTGCACTGCAACCTCCGCCTCCTGGGTTCAAGCAATTCTTCTGCCTCAGCCTCCCGAGTTTCTGGGATAACAGGCACCAGCTCCCATGCCCAGCTATTTTTTGTATTTTTAGTAGAGACGGGATTTCACTATGTTGACTGGGCTGGTCTCAAACTCCTGACCTCAAATATCTGCCACCCCAGCCTCCCAAAGTGCTGGGATTACAGGCGTGAGCCACACCTGGCCATTTGTTTTAATTTTTAAGGTGAAGTTAAAGTGACTGCATTTACCAAAAGTGGTTGAGAAGCCAGGACTGTTCTTATCCTGTTTTTCCAGTTCTTGCTCAGAGCAAGGTGGTTTATTTTTCACTTAATTACCATACTTACTTTTCATGTAGAACAAGTCAGTTTGAGTTATCAGTTCATCATCTAACTAAATTCCATGGGGGAAGGAATTAGTTTTAGTTTCTTAAACTTCCAAGGTTGCTTATTGGACAAAATGAGATAGCAAGGCAGTGTTTTTAAGTTAGATTTTTTATTTCTTTGGTAATATAATTTTCTCAAAAACTTAGTAGTCTTTTAGTTTAGTTGTTTTTAGTTGCTCCTATGTTTTGCATCACCCCTCTCCACTTTATTTTGATAGTGCCAATTGCAAAGACATCTGAAGCCATAGGTTTGGGTGGGAAGGAGGCACCTTTAGCCTGATCATCTTTGCCAGGCTGTTTATCTCCTTTTGCTTTGCTGAGAAGTCTTAATAGGAGGCTTATTCCCAGCTACTTGGGGACATAGAAGCGGTTAGCCATTGTTTATGTTTTACTGAGGTCTGTGTGGTATGTTGACTGCAGTCAGTTACTGATTTTGAGACTTGAAGGCAGCCTGGTATATAGAGTAGGTATTATATTGTGTTTCTTTGAATTGAATTTCCCATCTCTTGTAATCTTTGCCATCATCTTCTGTGAAAGAAAAAAAGTTTCTATCAAACTATACCATTGGTTGTAAGATGCAGTTCGGCTTTAGTGATGCTAGCACATGATCCAAACGCGAAATTGAGTATTGGTGAAATACGGAGGAGATTTAAATCCAGAAGACCTGGGTTTAAATGCTGGCTCTATGACTTCAAATCTGTGTGTTCTTGGGCACGTCATGGTTGGCACTTCAATTTCTTCTCTCTGTAATGGGGGAAATGAGGCCAGTCATGGTGGCTCATACCTATGATCCCAGCACTTTGGGGGCCAAGATGGGAAGATCGCTTGAGGCCAGGAGGTTGAGCAATTGGGCAACATAGTGAGGCCCCGTCTCTACAAAACATTTAAAAAAAATTAGCCAGGCCCAGTGGTACATGCCTGTGGTCCCCACCACTCAGGAGGCTGAAATGGGAGGATCCTTTCAGCCCAGGAGTTTAAGGCTAAAGTGAGCCATGATTGTGCTACTGTACTCTAGCCTGGGCAGTAGAGCAAGATCCTGACTCTAAAAAAAGTAAAATGAAATAAAATGGGGGAAATGAACTGCTTTAGTAACATCATCTGTTTTTTCTGTAAGCAGTGGAGCTTGAAAGCCATTGGTGAACTCATGTACTGTGCTTCCCTGTCTAGATCCCCATTCTGCCCCCAGCATGGAGTATAACAGTTTATTAGTAGTAGTCGAGAAACCCTCATTGAATGAATGAATGAGGTGTAGAAGTAAGTGGAGTGGGTAATTGAACACATATTCATTTCCTTTTCTTTTTTCTTATTTTTAGAAAGAAAGAACTTTCAGCTACCAAGAAAGACCGTGTGAATCATTGTCTGACAATATGTGAAAACATAGTGGCACAGTCTGTCAGGTAATTGCACTTTGAACTGTCTAGAGAAAATAAGAACTTTGTATATTTTCAGTCTTAATGGGCCAGAATATTCTGTGTCCCAGTTATTTTAAATGGATTAAAAAATCCATGAAGAAGGACCCTTTTCCCATATTTCTGGCTATATACAAGGATATCCAGACACTAAAATGAATAATGTTCCCTTTTTGTAATCTTTTATGCAAAAATTAAAACCATTATGGTAATTGAACAACATGTTTATGTTTAGTTAACACCCTTAGCAACTATAGTTATTTTAAAATCCTGTGTGGTTTGATATTTTTGCGTTTGTTGTAACAGTGGGAACAGCACAAGGCTATCTTTCTGACCATTGTTCCTAGCAGTTATAGATGGTAAATATGTTTAGGCCTGTTTCCAATGGCTGGGTAGGAGACATATGCACCTATGATATCTGAATTCTGTTACCCAGATGGGCATGTGTGAAATAGTTACCTTGCTTTACTTTCCCTTGGAATAAATAATTCATGTTATTCTCCTGGTAGAAGCTAGAAAAAGCTCTTTATAGTCAGTCAGAAAAAAATTTTTAGACAAATAATCTTGATTTTAGTACTGACAAAAATGTGTGGTGATTCTTTTTTTTAGTTTTTTTTGAGACGGAGTTTCACTCTTGTTGCCCAGGCTGGAGTGCAATGGTGCGATCTCGGCTCACTGCAACCTCCGCCTCCTGGGTTCAAGTGATTCTCCTGCCTTAGTCTCCTGAGTAGCTGGGGTTACAGGCATGTGCCACCACGCCCAGCTAATTTTGTATTTTTAGTAGAGACAGGGTTTCTCCATGTTGGTCAGGCTGATCTCAAACTCCCAACCTCAGGTGATCCGCTCGCCTCAGCCTCCCAAAGTGCTGGGATTACAGGCATGAGCCATGGCACCTGGTGATTCATTTGTTTTTTTAAAAAATTTCCTCTTGGACATTGCTTTTCACTATTTTCTTTTTATTGTGGTAAAACACATATAACATTTACTATCTTAACCATTTTTAGGTGCACAGTTCGGTATATATATTTGTAATGTTGTACAGCCGTCACTGCCATCTACTTCATAAGTTTTTCATCTCTCAAAACGGAACATCTGTCTTCATTAAACTCCCGATCATCCATCCTTTCCTGTAGCCCCTTTCTACTCTCTGTCTGTATAAGTGTAACTACTCTGGAGACCTCATATAAGTGGAATCCTACAGAATTTGTCTTTTTTTTTGGTGAGCTGCTTATTTTTAATGCCTCTGTGCATTTATATTATATACTTTCAAAGTGATTTCAGAAAACCTTTTCATTTTAGGTTAACTCATTTCTATTGTTTGTGAAATACTGTGTATGATTCTGTTCTGTTTCTGTCTAATTTGTAGAAATATTGTGGGAAGAAAATGAAATAACAAATGAGCATGTGTCCTGAAAATAAAAATATAAAAATTCTAAGTTAGCATGCTATTGTAGAATACAACACTATGATAAAAGTAGGAAAAAAAAAGTTTGAATTCTATGTCTGCTGCCTGTGTAAGCTGGGTGACTTTAGATAAGCTTTAACGTGTTTGAGCCTTACTGGCTCATGTTTGAAGTGTAATCCCTCGTTACACAGTTCTTGTGGGATCAGACGATGCATTTGAAACACTGTGAAGAAGTAACTGCGATAGATGTGTTCATTAGCCACCTGAACGGGAAGCACATCCCATTGCGATACCCATCATCCAAAGCTATATGTTATCTTTACTTTTTTTGTTTTTTTGAGACAGAGTCTCACTCGTCGCCCAGGCTGGAGTGCAGTGGCGCCATCTCGGCTCACTGCAATTTCTGCCTCCTAGGTTCACGCCTTTCTCCTGCCTCATCCTCCCAAGTAGCTGGGACTACAGGTGCCTGCCACCACACCTGGCCAAATTTTTGTATTTTTAGTAGAGACAGGGTTTCACTGTGTTAGCCAGGATGGTCTTGGTCTCCTGACCTCGTGATCCGCCCACCTCAGTCTCCCAAAGTGCTGGGATTATAGGCGTGAGACACTGTGCCTGGCCATCTTCACTTTTTTTGTGAAATGATGACTCTAAATGCTTGGCAAACATTTGGTAATTGTTCATCTGATTTCCACTATCCAGGTCTCAGAGAATATAATTTCCCTCTGAAAGCTTATTGACCTGTGAAACAAGATCTCTTCCAATCTGAGTGCATCCGGCTTTATTCTTGTCATTTTGTCTTTTGAGAATTTTCAAATGGAATTCATGGAATGTTGGCTCATATTCACATATTAGTAAAGTACGTTGAGACATCTTAAGATTGATTTGTGGTTCTATTTGCCATATTAAATCAAAATAATAACTGTTAATGGTTTTCACATTAGTTTGTCTCTTGTTTTTATGGAGTAATGCTGAGAGTTCATTATGCTTCTTGTTCTACAGAAGAGCATGTTAAAAGGATTTTTTGGGATCAGAGAGGTTATCCATGGTTTCATAGGATACACTCTATACTTTGCAGGGATTTCAGGGTATATAGCCAAAGGTGATATTTTATATAAATATGTTTTATGGAAACTTACTGATCATCACTATTTCCTGTTAACTCCCCTAAAATATAATTAAACCTTTGGAACTTTTTTATAGCTTTTGTGCTAGACTGATTTTTGTCTCCAATGAGGTTATATAAATGGCAGCTTCTGAGGTTTTCAATGTAGGAAGTCATTTAAAACCCCATGTAGGCCGGGCGCAGTGGCTCACGCCTGTAATCCCAGCACTTTGGGAGGCCGAGGCGGGTGGATCACGAGGTTAGGAGATCGAGACCATCCTGGCTAACATGGTGAAACCCCGTCTCTACTAAAAATGCGAAAAATTAGCCAGGCGAGGTGGCAGGCACCTGTAGTCCCAGCTACTCGGAAGGCTGAGGCAGGAGAATAGCGTGAACTCGGGAGGCAGAGCTTGCAGTGAGCCGAGATCGCGCCACTGCACTCCAGCCTGGGCGACAGAGTGAGACTCCTTCTCAAAAACAAAAACAAAAACAAAACCTTAGGTATATTGTGAAAATGTAGTCTGCTTTAAGTTCTCTAAAGAGGTCTAAGTTACTGGTTCCTAAGTATGGATGAGCATCAAAATCATCTGGAAAATTTGTTAAAAATACAGTAATGAAGGTACCTCACTGTCCTTTTTCCCAAACACACTTCTGCATTCTGTTTGAGTAGGTAGGGCCTACACATTTTTCGCAAGTATTCTTTTGGGAATACCCGGGAATGCTCACTTGAGCAACCTCTTACTAATACCATATACCTTGATAAAGTGGCTAGGTAAAAATAAATATACAAAATCCATCGATCTCCCATATATTAGCATAAATCAGCTAGAAAACAGTAACGTTTAAAGATCTAGTTCACAGTAGCACTGAAGTATTGAATTCCAAGGAATTGATAAGAAATATGCAGAAACTTTATAAAAACTTCTGTTAATGTTCCTGAAAGATATATAGGTGACCACTTTCTAGACAGGAAGATTTTATATCATTAAGTTGACTTTTCTCTAAATTAACACAGAAATTTAAAATAATCTTGATCAAAATTCTAGTAGAGGTATTTTTGAACTTGTTCATTGTAAGAATAAATACATAACTGCAAAGAATATCTTAAAATCATCACTAGGCCCGGTGTGGTGGCCCACGCCTGTAATCCCAGCACTTTTGGAGGCCAAGGCAGGTGGATCATCTGAGGTCAGGAGTTTGAGCCCAGCCTGACCAATGTGGTGAAACCCTGTTTCTACTAAAAATACAAAAATTAGCTGAGTGTGGTGGCGCATGCCTGTAGTCCCAGCTACTTGGGAGGCTGAGGCAGGAGAATCGCTTGAACCCAGGAGGTGGAGGTTGTGGCAAGCCTAGATGGCACCACTGCACTCCAGCCTGGGTGACAAGAGCAAAATTCTGTCTCCAAAAAAAAAAAAAAAAAAAGAAAAAGAAAAAGAAATCAACGCTAATATGGTGAGACTTGATATATGTGACATTAAAATAGTGATTGGACATTAGAACAGGTATAGAACAGAAAGAAGAGTGTGTGTATGTGTGTGGATTTATGATGGGTGTAACATATTTGTATTAGTAGGGAAATGAGGGAAATGATGTATTTCTCTGACTTTGGGACAACATTATATCTCTACCTCATATTGCAAACAAGCATAAAATTCTGATTAATTACCTAAATGTGAAAAAATGAAATACTTTCTTCAAAAAGTGTAATCTTAGTTTGAGGAAGGCTAACATTATGAAGGAAAAAACTGTTTTGACTAGAATATAGTTAAATATGTCAAAATCCACCTTCAACAAAATTGAAAGTAAATTGAACTTGGGGAAAGTATTGACAGCATGTAGATCAAAGGTTACTAGCCTGTGTAAAGAGCAATTATATTTGGGAGGCCGAGACGGGCGGATCACAAGGTCAGGAGATCGAGACCATCCTGGCTATCACGGTGAAACCCCGTCTCTACTAAAAATACAAAAAATTAGCCGGGCGCGGTGGTGGGCGCCTGTAGTCCCAGCTACTCGGGAGGCTGAGGCAGGAGAATGGCGTGAACCCGGGAGGCGGAGCTTGCAGTGAGCTGAGATCCGGCCACTGCACTCCAGCCTGGGCGGCAGAGCGAGACTCCTTCTCACAAAAAAAAAAAAAAAAAAAAAAAAAAAAAAAAAAAAAAAAGAGCAATTATAAATCATTAAGAAAAGACTATCAACCCGTCGGCACCTTGTTCTCCGACTCCCAGCCTCCAGAACTGTGACGAGTAAGTGCCTGTTGTTTAAAACACCTAGTCTATATGTAGTATTTTGTTATAGCAACTCAAGCTGATTAGGACCCTAGTAATCAGCAGACTGAGACTAAAACAAAAATAAGAACCTTTTTTACCTGTCAAGTTGGCAAACATTAAGAATATGCAGATTTTTGTCAGAGGTGATACAACCTTCTAAGAAGGCAATTTGGGAAAACATAAAGCTTTAGATTATTATGTGTCTGACCTAGGG